ATTTTTTTCCATCCCTTCAGTTTCAACCTATGTGAGTCTTTTGTTGAGAGGTGGGTCTCTTGTAAACAACATATAGGTGAGTCATGCTTTCTTAACCAGTCAGCTACTCTGTGTCTTTTTATGGGAGCATTCAATCCATTTACATTTAAGGTGATTATTGATATGTACTTATTTATTGCCATTTTTGTTTAGTGTGGTTCTATTTATCTTCCTATTTCTACTGCTAATTACAGCAGTCCTTTTCACATTTCTTGCAGTGCTGGTTTGGTGCTAATGTATTCCATTAGCCTTTTTTTTTGTCTGGGAAGCTCTTTATTTCACCTTCTATTTTGAATGATAGCTTTGCTGGGTAGAGTAGTCTTGGATTCAGATTCTTGTTTTTCATGACTTTGATTACTTCCTGCCATTCCCTTCTGGCCTGTAGTGTTTCTGTTAAGAAGTCAGCTGAGAGCCTTATGGGGTTTCTTTTGTAGGTAACCTGTTGCTTATCTCTTGCTGCTTTTAGGATTCTCTCTTTGTCTTTAATTTGTGGCATTTTAATTACTATGTGTCTTGGTGTGGGCCTGTTTGGGTTCTTCTTACTTGGGACTGTCTGTACTTCTTGAACTTGAATGCCTTCTTCCTTCACCAAATTAGGGAAGTTTTCTGTGACTATTTTTTTGAATATATTCTCTATCCCTTGCTGATTTTCTTCCTCTTCGAGGACTTCTATGATGCGAATATTATAACGTTTCCAGTTGTCCCACAGTTCTCTTAAGCTGTCTTCCTGTTTTTTAATAGTTTTTTCCTTTTGGTTTTCTGATTGATTTTTTCTACCCTGTCCTCTAATTCACTGATCCGGTCCTCAGCTTCATCTACTCTTCTTTATAAACCTTCCAATGTGTTTTTCATTTCTGATATGTCATTTTTTATCTCTTCTTGATGGCTTTTAATTTCCAATTGGCTCATTTTCAGTGTCTCTATGTCCTTACTCATGCTGTTCAGCTTCCTCAAGATCATGGCTCTGAATTCTAGCTCTGTTAACATGCCTAATTGCTCCACATTTATCTCATCTTCGGTGGAGGTCTCTTGCTCTTTCATTTGGCTTCTGTTTCTGTGTTTCACCATTTTGACTATCACTGTGGGTTGTGGAGCCTGTCAAGTTTTCCCTTGGGTGTTGGTGTTCTGCTCTTTGTGGCTCCCTCTCCTGTGTTTAGATGAGCGAGGGAGGACCCAGGGTTAAACACCACTGTCAAGTCTTACTTTCCTGGTTAAAGTTGTCAGCCCAGGAAAGCTACTGTTATCCTCCAGCTTTTTGCCTGGAGGCTAGCAGTGGAAGTTACTTGATGGGTTTTGGGTTGTCAGTTGATTGAAAAACTCCCTCAGGTACTCAGCACAAGGGGATTTCCCGAGGTTGGGGCAGATGCTGGTTGTTAGTGAGCCTCAATTAGCTCTTCAATGGCCCACAGGGTGGGGTTGGATCTCCAAGGGAGGGGCTGCTGCCTCTCTCAGAGCCCTGGGAAGTAGCAATATGGCCACCGTCCTGCGTGGCTGCACCCAGCCAAAGCTCTGAGCGCCCTCCAGATCCCGAGTGTCCCCACACAGCTCCAGTCCAGTCTGCCCTCCTTCTGCCGGAGCCCAAGGTGAGTGGCTGTGGGTGTTTTAGCCTCTGTCCCCGCTGCACTGTGGATCCACCTGGGAGTGTGACCCGAGGGCACCGCTCCCAGCTGAGGCCGCTGCCGAGCTGCCGACAGTGGGCTCCCAGTCCCCGTCTCGCGCCTTCGCAAGCCTACCAGGATGGAGTCAGTGTCCCTGGTTATATGGTCCTCGCAAGCTGCTTTTCTGTTGGTTTTTCCCGTCACTTTGTCTGTGTTATAGTTGTAATTGCAGTTTGGTTCTGGGAGACGGTCTGTGTAGCTTCCCTTCACTCCGCCGCCATTTTTCTGGACCCCCATATAGTTTTTAAATGTAGCTACTAGTACATTTAAAATTACATCTGCTGTGTAATTATCTTTCCACTGGACAGTGCTGGGTGAGGGTATTTCAACTTCAATTACAAGCTAGCTATGCCAGGGTGATGTTCTGTAAGTCTCTCTGCCTTGGTTTCATCATTTGTAAGATGTCAAGGTTCGGGTTAGATGCTTTTTAAAACTTCTCTGCCACTAACATTCCAGGACTCAAAGGTTCAGTAGTTATTGCTGGTGAAGATGACGGTGCTGTGACTAAGAGGCAGGGCAGCCTTGGTTAGAGCTGGGCCCCAGACAGGGCGCCCAAGCAAAGCTCAGGGATCCTTAGACCCACCCAGCAGCTTGCATGTCTCAAGGCCAGACACAGTGCCAGCTGGGCAACTGATGAGGGTAGCTGAGGAAAGCCCTACTCCCACGTGGCGTGGCTCCAGGGCTCAGCACTTGTGCTACCTATTAACAGATGAGCTGGTCCGTAGTTCTGGTGGCACAGCTCATCGATGGCAATGCTGTGGGCTGAAGTCCAGGCTGCCAAAAGGGTCCAGAAGACTGACTTCACCAGTCAGAAGCCGAGAAGTCGAAGAAAACAACTTCTAATTCGTATTGTGTTTATCAGACTCCTAAAAGAAGCATTTTAAACAAAGCATATAACTTCACTATCCATTTCATCCAAAGCATTTTGCTATATTTGTTTGTGTTCTGGAACCTGTTAAAACAGCACCTTCTGAATTAACTTGGATTAGAAGACAGAGTCCCCCCTGCCCAGTATAGTGCCTGGGTGTCTGTACTAAGCCACCTTCATGGCCCACTTCCACCCTTTGAAAACAGCACACAGCAAATGTTTCTGCATGTCTATCACATGCCAGACACCAGATACAACAGCAAGATCCAGTTCTCAAGCAGTTTTGAAGGTGTAGGGGGGAGCTGGTATTGAGAATATACCAAGGAGGATGGCAAATGTGACTGGGTGAAGTTTGATGGTAAGTATTGGGTGCTTGTCTTAGGAGCACCTAACTCAGGCTAGGAGGATCTGGGAAGGCTTTTTGGAGAAAGTGAGATGTAAGTTAGCTAAGAACTGACCAAAAGAAGAGGAGGAAGAAGACACAGTCCATGTAGAAAGAGTGGTGTCTTCCAAAAGCCACAAGTGAAAATGAATACGGTGTGTTCCCAGAAGGCTGTGATTTAGAGGGAGAAGGGACCAGGAGCAAGAGAGGAGCCGGGTGAGGGAAGCAGGGGCCAGACCACGTAGGGCCTTGGATGCCCTGTGAAGGGGTAGATGGTGGCCAAAATCTAAGGCAGTAGCAGCCCCATTCTACCTGGTCTCCAGGGATTAAACTGGCTCCTCCTGCCCAAGCCTGCCATGAGGTCCCATACTATCTTGTCTCTGCACAAGCCATCTCTTGAAGGCCTTCCTGTCTCTGTCTTCTTTTTCCTTCTCGAAATCCCACTGAGACTGATATAAGGCGCCTCTCAAAGGTCTCTTCCCTCACAACTTTTCCCAGCCCCAAGACTAATCAGTCATTCCCTACCCTGTGAACACACTTCTTATAATAGAATCTTTGGGGAAAATGGACTTAAATTAATAACCATCTTCTTTCAGAACTGCCCCCTTTAGTGGCAACTGAGCAGGTCAGGGCAATGTGACCGCGTGACTTGGGCACTGCTGACTGAGTCAGAAGAGGACATCAGACTCAGATCTTGCTTGCCTCTCTCACTGAGAAACCAGGGCTGGTCCCTGCTAAGTGCTTTAGCCGGGAGGACATTTAAGCTTGGAATCTGTGGGCTAGGCAACTTCTCCATTGCATGCAGAAGCAGAGAAAGCTCATAAAAATAAACCATGGCCACGGTTCTTGACAACTTTCCAGTGTCTTGTTCTAGTCATGTTGTGATCCCTGATCAACTGTCCTGATAGTGATGGGAAGACCTCTGTATCTCTATAACCAATCCCAACTCTTGGTGTCAGCTACCTGGAATGGGTTTCAGATACATAACCACATAAGTTATGCAAAAGCACTCTTGTTATAGCTCTAATACCTTGATACAGCAGCTACTCATTTCCATACTATGGTCAAAGTGGATTCACATGTGACATGGGTGCAGTCACTCTCCTAGCCAGACCTCGCAGCAGACGTGCCTGAGTGACCACAGCTCTCCACCTGGGCCTCACAAGCCATCATAAAAGTATTCCAGGTGGCCCCAAAGAGTCTAACGGGAGTTGGCACACAAGAGAAAAGTTACTGGCCATCAATGTTCTAGACTGGCATCTGCTTGCAGGAAGGTGCCGTGTCCTTTTCATGGTTGGGCTCACAATACTTAGCTTTGTGCTTGACACAAGGTCAACATGAAATAATGCTTGCATGGAGGCTACATTAAGACTATTATGTTTTAACCTGATTGCTCATCGAGGCCTCTATATTCGCCCATTTGCCTTCAGTGGAAGTTGAGAAAAGATCTAGTCTCTCCCACTCTAAGAAACAAGGTAAGCAACTGAATGGTAGTGAAAAAGCTGAAATACAATAGTGCATCTCAGCCTCAGGCACACACGTACAAACCCATCTCTGCCCATCTACAACTGGTTCTTCTTTCTTATCCCTGAGGGTATGGCCACATTTAAAAATTACATTAATTTACGGCACGGTTACTCAAATCCTTACAGAATCAGAGCACGCTGTTATTTCTGTCTTGTGACTTAATTATATACATTCACAAAGTGTATAACTTATTTGTAGATTATTTTTCCATTTTATCCACAATTAATCACAAACTTATTTTCACTGTGAAAAAAGATGATCTAACTACCATCTGATAATCTATAAATCTCAGGAGCTGTACATCCTGTAAACATAAGGAAGTGTTAACTACAGGAAACATGTAACTTTCAGAAACTATGTCTGTTACAGCAAAGCCAAGACTGTTCCTCTCCCTTGTTAATGTCTTTATCAACAACAAAGGCGTGGCTCCTCCTTGTCGAACTGTAGCAAAAAGTTTTTGCTAACAACCTGATGGACTATGATTAGTAAACAAACAAAAAAGAGCACCTTAAAAATCAGTACATACCAACTCCATTAACTGTTTGAGCTGACCGATCTCTTCTGGCAGTGATCCAAGTTTGTTGTTACTTGCGATTAAGACTTTGAGAGGCAGACCACACAGGCAGGCGGGCAGGGCGGACAGCTGATTTCGACTGCAAAGACAATACATGTGTGAACCTACAGGCCACTCCACACCATTTGTGAACATTTTTAACAAGCAAGAAAAAAGGAGTGGGCTGAGAAGACATTTTTCGAATATCATCATTGCTGAGTTTTCTGAGAGGAGGGAAAATACTGAATAAATAAAATCTGAATTGCCCACATGTACATCAGTCACTTACTTCACCTCCCCTCATAAGCAGCCTGCTATCAAGTAAGAAGACAGGGTTTTCAGTTTCCCTTTCTTTCCCAGCCATTCTGCTGAGGAAGCCAACAACCAGGCACCTACTTAGATCTTCCTTGTGTAAAGCTTCAGAGGCTGTGGTATTGTGTGTGTGGTTTTATGGGTACACATAACACCTGTGTGTGCAAGGGGGTGAGACAAGCAGATGGACTGCAAACAACAAAATGTTATAGTGGTCATCTTTTGGGGAGTAGATACCATGAGTGGATTTTATTTTCCTTAGTACATTTTGATGAGTTTTCCAAAATTACTGCAAAGTGCTTTTATAATTAGAAAATAAATATTACTATAAAAAAATAAACTTTGCCCGGCCAGTGTGGCTCAGTGGTTGAGTGTCAACCCATGCATCAAGAGGTCGCCGATTCGATTCCTGGTCAGGGCACATGCTCAGGCTGTGGGCCGGATTCCAGTGGGGGCATGCTAGAGGCAGCCGATTGATGTTCTCTCGCATCGATGTTTCTATCTCTGTCTACCTCTCCCTTCCTCTCTCTCTAAAATCAATAAAGTAAAAAAATATTTTAAAAAAAGATAAATTTCATCTGAATACCAGTTACATGGGTGCTTTTTTTTTTGAAGTACAAATAAGAGTTGTTTATTAGCCGGCCAGCGTCTGATTCCAAAAACCCCTGTGACAGAGTCTGGAATCGGCCATGGGTGCTTCTTTTGTGAAAATTCATGGAGATGAACAATTATGATCTGTGCACTTTTCTGTACGTGTGATATTTCAACGAAAGGTTTTACTCTCCCATTCCCCGTAGCGTCACCCCTACTCCTCGGTTCCCCAGTGCCCAGACCCAAAGAGAAATCTGTTTCCAGAAAGGAACATAAGGAGGAGAGAACTTTCTCTGAGGATCCAACAGAGGGGGAGGGAGGACTGGGAGCCTTACAGGGGTGGGACTGGAAGAGGGGTGTTCCTGGCACTACAAGAGCCAGCTGGCTCTTCACTCGCTCCTGGTTAGGATGACAGGTGACAATAAGGGTGACAGGTTCACCCTGGCAATAAGACAATTTTATTATTTGAGCAATACTAATAAGCTTCCTTTTGAAGAGAGGATATTGGGAACAAAGTTGTTCAAAATTTTCTACAGTCCAATTTTCCACAGAATTAGCAATTACAGTGGAGGTCTTCCCTATGTTTCTTATCTTCGAAACTCGGGTAGCTTAATGCAGGCATCTAATCAGATGTGCAGATTCTGAATTGAAGACGCATTTATCATACCATGTAAGTAAGGCAAGGAAGACTGTTCATTCAGAAGCAACAGTGTTTGAAATTGCGTGGAATTCTTCCAGAATGGGTACTAATTTAAAATAAAATAAAATTTAAGCGTGTGAAAGCATTTACAGTTTCTTCAGCAGGGAAAAAGCTATCTATGCTAACTGCTGTTGCTGAGACAGCTTTTTATGTATGCCCACACATTCCTTAGTCAGCAGGAGGCACGGAGGTGCGCAGGCCTGGGGGCGTTCTCCTACTCCAGGCCTCGGAGTTGCTCACAGTGCTACCTGTAATCTCCCCAACAGAAAGAGGAAATGCACAGGCACACACAATCCCATCAGCTCTCCAGCAAATACTTAGAAAGCAGAGGAGCACTGTCCCGCCACCCTCTACCTCAGCAGCAGCCCAGCTTTCTGAAACCACCCCGAGGGCGCTTCTCTCAAGCAAAGAGCGCCCCAGGCTGCACTCCGCCGTCCCACCCCTCACTTCCTCCTGGGGCCTGTATGCTGTAAATAGCTCTTCGTGGGAAGAATGTTTAAAAATAAGGCCACACAGTGTCTCATAAGGTAATGGCCAACATTTATCTTCAAATCTAGCCTGTGAGCCACGTCTGAAAGCAAAATTTTTTAAAAATTAGCTCACTCATTACAAAAGAATGAATGGGGGGAAGGGCCACTCACAGGTTCCTGAAGGTGGCCGAGCCTTCCTGCCCTCACTGCGCCGGCCACCAGCATGCGGTCCGCCTCGCCGCCCCGCCACAGGACGGGGCACAGGACGGTGCGGGGAGCAGTGGAGGGCAGGGGTTTCCCCACCTTACTGCTAACGTTGGTCTTCCACTTTTCTCCGCTCAATGACCACTCGATTTGTCTATTTCCTCATTACAAGATGGAACGGCAGCTCAACATGGTATGAACATTTTTTTCCCTATCAGAGCTTAGTCTTTATTTATTTTTTAAATCCTCACCCGAGAATATTTTTCTCTTTATCTTCAGATCGAGAGGGAAAGAGAGAAACATTCACTGACTGATGGCCTCTGGCACCAGGGATGAACTGCAACCGAGGTACGTGCCCTTGACTGGAATCGAACCCGCGACTCATTGGTCTGTGGCCCACACTCTACCGCTAGGCCAAACTGGCCAGGGCGAATCTTTTATTTATCTTTTAAAATTTATCTTTATTGTTGCAAGTATTAGAGATGTCCTCCTGTTTACCTCCCATTGGCCCCTTCCTCCCAGGCCTTCACCACACTATTATGTGTGTCCATAGGCTACGTGTGGATAAAAAGGGGCCACATGCTAACAGGACAAGCTCAGGACAAGCATGGCAGCCTTGCAAACTCAGAGACCTAAAGTAACCACAAAGGATGGTCTGAAATTTAAACTTTTTAACTAAAAGCATTTTATGGCAGGTAGTCATGTTCTAGGCCAACATCTCCCCTGACAAAGGTCCATCTTTACCTTCACTGAGCCTGTCTGTTGTCTTTTTGCATCTACAATAACATATCTTTGGAATGTCCAAGTAAGTAATTTTCCTTATTCTGGCCCCTCAAAGCACAGGCAGCACTCTGTGGGACCACAGATCCCCTCACTGTCACTGAGTTCATTGCTGACAGTTAACTATTCTATACCCACCTGTGTAAAAGATGTACGTGTCTACCATTTTACTTTTCATCCAATCCCAGAGGGTTCCCTGTTTTGCTTTCTCCCACCTCCTTAATCTATCACCAGTGGATTTCATGTAACCCACTTACAGTTTCTCTTTTCATTGTAATGTAAAAAATAAGGTGAAGCATTATCGCAATCCACTGAGATTTTGCTTACCAACAATTATTGACAGTTTGGGCTCAAAAAAAAACCTCATAAAATTCTTCATGGGTTTGAATGTTTCTTATGTTAACATTTGCATATATGCATGTAAGTTCTTTGGTTAACCTCTTCCCACCCCCACCCCCCTTCCTCCTACCCTCTGAGACTCCTCAGTCTGTTCCATGAACATTTTCGATGGCCTAAATTTACAGGATAAATTTCTCTTGGTTTTAAGTACCACTGTCTCTCACTTAACATAATTCTTAAATTAAGGAATTCACAAACTAAGTCATGTATGTATGGTTTGACTTTTAGAGAGTCTTATTTTAATGTATTTTGACTATGGCACTTATTAGTATCCATGTTTTCAGACTCAGTATTTGATAATTAATTTTTTATTGGCTTATCAGGCGGTTATTTTCCTTAAAATATGTGATAATAAAGGCATGCTGTATTCTTACATGTGATTTTATTATCAGGGCACCATATTTTTATACATGTATTTTTTTGGTTAATCCTCACCTGAGAGTATCTTTTCCATTGCTTTTTAGAAAGGGTAGAAGGGAGGGAGAGAGAGAGAAAGAGAAACATTGATGTGAGAGAGACACATTGATTGGTTGCCTCCTGCATGTGCCTCAACTAGAGCTGGAGATCAATCCTATAACCCAGATATGTGTCCTTGACCAAGAATCAAACCCATGACCCTTTGGTGCAAGGGCTGACGCTCTAACCATTGATCCAAACCAGCCAGGGCTCATATGTATCTTTTATTCTACTGGAATATACGGGTCAGCAAAAGTAGGTTAATAATAATCGTTGCAGTGAACAATACAATAATACATAAATAATAATACAAAAATAAACTATGTTTTGCATACTTGCAACTATAAACCTACTTTTGCCCACCCCTCCGTATATCCTTTCTTTAAAAAAAAAAATATTTTTATTGATTTTAGATAGGAAAGAAGAAAGAAACATGGATGTGAGAGAGAAACATATGCCCTCTGACCGGAAATTGAACCAGTGACCCCTCAGTGCATGAGATGATGCCAGGGCCTCTGTCAGAGCTCCTGTATATCCTTTTTTTGTGTATATGTGGATTTATTTAATAATGAAACATGGAATTCACTCAACAGAAAATAGTTTATCAGAAGATTTATATAACAAATTCACCTTTAGTCCCTTGGTAAAAAGGTCACCAAATGTGGAATTAGGAGACCTAGTTTCAAATCACATCTCTGTCACAAATCATCTATGACTTTAGGTAAGTCATTTAACCTCTCTGGCTTTTTCATGCATAAAACACAGATAATAATACTTAACTAGCATGACACATGACATTATAAATGCAAAACTACTTAGCCCAATACTAAATCCATATATAAAAGTGAAACCAAATTGAACCACTAATGTGGCCAAACATTAGGGAGGTGATCAAAAAGAACATATGTCTGCTTAGGTAGGTTTTCGTGGTTTTTATTTACTAACTGCTAAAATTTCAGCCAGTTTTAGATATGGTTTCACATTGCACTTACTGAAAACATATCAATTAAAAATAAAGATCATTATTCTTAGGTATACTGAAGAGAACCAGGCTATAAAATATCAGGCCAAAACAAACCCTGTAATGATTTCCAATCTGGAGTAAAAAGACTAGACTGTATAATCACATGAATGACTTTTTCTCACCCATCATCTCTAGTTCCAGGATGCTACCATTTCTCTGGGAAA